AGTGGCTGTTCCTCTCCCCAAATCCCCAGCTCCTGCCACACAGCCCTCCTTAGATCCTCCATTCTTAGAGTTCTCCTAACCACCCCTCTCCTTGCACTCTAGAACTAGATACTAGGGGACACCAGCAGCTGTTAGCTCACAACACTTCTCCTTTCCTTGTCACTTTCCCTTAACCCTGCCCACACTCTCATAAACAGTTCCTTTATTAATCTCCTCTCAACATCTTCATTTGGGCATGCCATCTGTTTTCTGCTGAGAATCAGTGGATACACGTATCATACTATTAGGAGGAGAGCTGGAAACTTGGTGGCCACAGTGGGGACCACCTCACTGAGTTGAGAAGTGGCACTAATGAATCAACAGAGGGAACTTCATGGAGAGGAACTGACCACCACATAATGCTTTGTCTCCGCCATTCCTTCACTCAGTCAAAGGAAGGAGCCTGAGTTCAGAAGCAAGACACACTTCAGCTCCACCATTTATTACCTGAGATATGAACATCTCTGGATCTCAGTTTCTTCAGATGCACACTGGGTATAACAATGATGTGGATATAACAATGCTTTCCTTATGGGTCATTTAAGAATCCAGGGAGACAAATATAAAAAGAACCTAAGTATGGTAGACATACTAATGCTTCCCCAAATTTCCAAGCTTTATGTGTTACTTTAAATAGCAAAAGAGACTTGTGGATGTGAATAAGGTTACAGACCTAAACTTGGGGAGATTATCCTGGATTCCCAGAGGCACCCAATCTAATCACTTGAGTATTTAAGGTCGATGGGGAGGAAGAAGCGTCAGTCATCGAAATGTGGCAGAAGAAGAGGAGGCAGGACAGTGGAGAAGGCTTTCATGCATCATTGGCGCTACACACAGTTACCCAAGCCAGCCTGTCCATGCTGACCCCTCCCAGATCGCAGTCAGAAGGCAAATGGGGACCTCAGTCCCACAGACTCTGAATTCTGACAAACTCTTCAATGAATTTGAAGGTGGATTCTCCCCGAGAGCCTTCTGAAGAAACGCAACATAGGAAACACCTTGATTTGGGCCATGGGAGACCAGGAGGAGAGAAACCATTGCACTCTGACCTGTAGAACTGCTGCATAATGAATGGGGATCATTTTAAGACTCTACATTTTTAGTAATTCCTTCTGGCAGCAACATCAGTAAATACTACAGCATGATGAGGTCCTGGTACATAATAAGCACCCTCTACATGTATGTTATGTGTCTCCAAAGGGGACAGGTAGTTAAGATACAGAGAGGCCTCCCAGGGCCCCAAAGATTATGTGCTCTCCAAGAAATACAGGAGCTGCAGTTTTACAACTAACCTAGAAGCTGGCTCTCTCTAGTGCTTTCCAGCTGTGGTGAGTGTGGGCTCCCTACCTGAGCAGCCTCCAGCAACAGCAGCAGGGGGAATGGGAAGAGCTGTGCTTGTCCCTGACTTGGGCAAATCAAGCCTGGGCTCAAGGACTTCCCCAGGGAAATGCACTCTCATCCCTCCAGTAAAATATCCCCAAGCTCTCAGTCCTGCCTCTTTCTACTCGGAGGCAGTTTCTGATTCTAATGATTGTCCCTCATGGAAGCACAGGCCAGGAAGATCATTTCCTGCTACTGAAGCCTTCCTTCTGTTTTCTTCAGCCAAATACATCTCTCTAAGCACATGTCAATATCTTCCAGCTGCCTAACCATCTAAAACCAGTGCTGGCCTATGAGCACACTCTGCTACAGTGCTTCATTTGATGACTGGGGCAACTGTGCTTTTATGAGTGGGTCAAGTTTAAATAACACCCTAGGACACTGGGCGCTGAGCCAGGTATCAAGGATGTGGGTATCTCAGCGTTCAATCACCAACAAAGTTTTATATGAGAACACGTGGACTAAGGGCTATCCACTGCGCACAGACTTGTGCCTCTGGCTTGAATCAAAATTGTACACACTTGGCCCAATCACAGTGCCACTTCAGGGTTTCAGAGCAGCAATTGGTATTCCTTTAGGTAATATTTTCCCTGTCCTTCTCAGGGACTCACCTCACTATAAGGAGACTCTAATAATAGGAAGTAATATTGATTGTGTGCTTACTGTGCACCAGGCACTGCTATATGTAGCTGTAAAAGTGATAACAGCAAATTCTCAAGGTGATTTAAAGAATTAATTTCTATTATTTTTATCATGCAGTTTCACAAATGAAGAGAGGAGGACTCAGAAGTGTTAAGTAACTTGTCCAAAGTTAACCTTAGTGCGTGGCTAGAGATGTAAACTCAAACCTGGGCTAAAGCGTTTCTGTAACACTACACATCACACGGATTTTCCTGCTGATTCAATACACACAGATCTCTTAGGTTTCGACCAAGCACTGTGACAGACCCTGGAAATACAAATATACCCTAGAAAGATTTCATTTTCTCCTAGCTAACATGGTAGAATGGGAGACAGGTATGTACAAAAAATACATAAATGCATTTTATTAGCAGCATAAACAAAGTGCAATGGAAGTGGTAATTAGATGTTTTAGGGGGAAAAGAACAAATGGGAAAACAAGCTCAGGAAGACAGAGGTAAACAAGAGGGACAGAAAGGAAAGTATCACATACAATCATGGGCAAACTGCCCATTATTCCTCCTTCCCTTTGTTTCCTCATCACTAAAATGGAGATCATAATACCCACTCCAGAGCTGTTATGAAGATTAATTTTAGTAATAAACTGAATGTGAATTACCTCTGTTCAAAATATTCTAATACACATTATTCTCTCACCTTCTACCCAAGAAACCCCTTATGTAAAGATAAGAAGAGCTCAAAATCTAAATAAAAATGCTTGGAAATGTTAACAGGGAAACGGAAATGTAAGGTAGTTAGATACTGGAGAAAGTTATCTCAGAGAGAGGCTAAGTAAACCTAGGAAGTTTTCTTTGGATTCTGTTTCCTGGAATAGGCCTCCTCTTGCCTCAACATCAAAACACATCCCAGCTGATTCTCAAGAGCTGATATGGTCACCCAGGTGGCCTCTTATTTGCCTGATTTAAGAGTACTCCATTTTTTCTTTTTTGTTAATCATCACCAGAGGATATTTTTCCATTGAATTTTTTTTTTTTTTTTTTTTTTTTTTTAGAGAGAGAGAGAGAGAGAATGGAAAGGGGAGAAAGAGAGATAGAAATTTTTATGTGAGAGCGGTACCTTACCTTATGGGGCTGAACTGGGATTGGGCAACAAAGCTGCAACCCAGGTAGGTACCCTTGACTGGGAATTGAACCCACAACCCTTCTGTGCTTAGGTTGGTAGTCTAACCACTGAGCTCACCTGCTAGGGTAAGATTATTCCATTTTCTGCACAAAACTACATTATGGACATAGCCTCAGCACCTCTTAGCATAAAACAGAGCATCATTCCAGAGGACAGTCCCTCCTGGTCACTCCTCAGCTTTAGGGGGTCCTTTGGTCTCAGGGACAGCTGGCCGCCTTATTTAGCCAACCAACTGGCCTGTGGTACACAGTGTCCCCAGTGCTCTAAGTCTGGTGGGTGATTCATATCCATATACACAGCAGTTGGAGGAGAATCCAGCAGTCCCTTTGGTAGCCTCAGGGTGTCTAAGCGGCCATTCACATCATGGCCACCATAGTTATGAACTGTGTTAGTGAGATATCGCTTTTCCTTTCTTTTTTTCAATCATTAAAAAAATAAAACTGTCAAATTTCGCTGGAGTAATATTTGCCTCCAGTCACATCAATACATTTATTAAACCCCCTTCTGTTTGTCCATTGAGTTTAAAGTGTTAGACAAGGGAATACTTAAAAAACGCTCCGATTATAAAGATTTGATAATGCTGTGGGAAAGAGACTCACACATTAAAAACAAAACAAAAGAAACAAACAAAAACATATGAAAAGATACAAAGTCTATAATGCACTGAGGGTGGAACTGTTATTTCCTGGGTTTCATTACTATGAGGATGGGGTGCAATGGAGGAGATGCCGTGGGTAGAGGATTTGAAGAAGTGGGGTGTTGTGGTGGGAAATTGTAAGAGAAACACAACCAAAGGAGCAGACAGGCTATGCACCCGCTAGAGTAACCATTAGAGACTGACTTTGTGACAACAGAGTTCATCATTTAGGATAAATGTTACTGGCAGTTTTACAAGGTCTTTTGCTTCAGTTTGAAAGTTGTGACTGTGTAATTCAGTGGGATATTGAAAGAAAGTGCAGGGATTAGTAAAAAACCATATATGCGTAACAGAGACCACTGTGTGGTGATGGCCAGAGCTACAGGAGGGGTGGCAGGTAGGTGGTGATGGTCAATGGGTGAGGGCCAGTGGGGACAGAAAGAGGCATTGCTTGCACCAATGGGCACAGGATGCGGTGTGTAGACGGTTCTTAGTGAGTTGTACACATGAAAGCTGCATGGTTTTGGCGAACCTATGTCACCCCCAATAAGTTCAATGTTTTAAATTAAAGGGCCTTCTTTATACTGTGTTTTGGAGCCACATTTTGAATGGGGGAGAAGACCTTGGGGGCAGGATCCCTGGGTCCAGGGCGGTCAGAGAAGCAGAAAGAAAGAAGGAGAGAGGGGAGGAAACACACGCCCAGCCTCTCTGTGAGGGGTATCCAGACCCTGGCGCGGGGGTGGAGGGGGCGCAGGGAGAGATGGCCTCTGAGCGGAGCCCCCGCCACCTCCAGGGAGCCGCCCGGGGCCCTGGAGGAGCCCCAGGGGACGCTGCCTGGTCTGCGAATCAGGGGCCCCCGCGTCACAGCTCCGCGGCGGGGCGGGGCGGGGCCGAGTGCGCGTGCGCGGCCCGGGCTGAGCGGGTGTTGCAGCAGCTGGAGCTGCGGGCGCGGGGCGCGGGGCGGGCGCGGGCGCGGGCGCGGGCGCGGGCGCGGGCGGTGGGCTCGGTTTGTGACTAGCAGCGGCGGCGGCGGCGGCGCGGGGTCCGGACTGTAACCGCGGCGGCTGCTCGGGACGCGGGCGGCGGCGGCGGCAGCCGAGGCGGCCCGTCCGCGGGCGCGATGTGGCCCCTGTTGGTGCTGCTGCTGCTGGGCTCAGCGAGCCGCGGTGAGTGGCCCCGACCCTGGCTCTGCTCTGCGGATCGCGCCTCCCGCCTCCCTCCGTGGCGCCCCGCGGGGTGTGCGCTGCGCCTCGAGAGGAGAGGGCGGCCGGGGCGGCACGCGCGGGGCCCCAGGCTCCCGGGCGCGAACGTGGGAGGCCCCGCGGGTACCCGGGCGCTCCCTTCCCTTCCTTCCCCGCTTCCCCTCCCTCCTCTTCATCTTCCCGGGAGACAGCGGGCTCCTCTCCCGCCCCCGCGCGCCCGCCGCCTCCGGACGCGCACACCGAGGGGGGCTGCGCCCCGCGCGCCTCGCGCGGAAATTAACCGGAGGGAAAGGGCGCGATGCGAGGCGAGTGGGTGGCCGCTGTCAGGGTCCTTCTTCCTCTTTCGCATCCCGCTCCCCGCCTGGGCGCCTCAGTGCGCCGGGGATGGAGCGGGGAAGAAGGGGAGAGCCAGGGCGTCTTGCGATGAAAGTGCGCATTTTTGGTGAAGATGGTTATTTATTTATTTAGTGTTTATTTTTCGTTTGTGCCCTCCCACACGAACCTAGGAGGTAAGGGGAGGGCATACTTGATACAATTAAGTTTTATTTCCAACACACCATTTAATCAGAAGAATTTTTTGTCCCCCCACCTCTCTCTTAAAAAAAAAAAAAAAAATATATATATATATATATATATATATATATATATATATATATATATAACATATAATATATATATTATTTTTTATAATAATAATATATATATTAAACCTTAGAAATAGGCTTCTTGGAAACTCTCTGAACCTCCCGGCCCCTCCAACCACTTTAATACTGTCCAAAGAGCATATTCAAGTTCCCTCCTGTATTTGGGGAACCATTTCACAGCAGTAGATTTTGCTTGAAATGAGAAGACAATAACCCCACGTCAAAACATATTTGCAACCAACTGGAATTTGGTGTTTTTCCATGTTAAAGGCGTTTTGGCCCCAAGCGTTTCGAAACTATTTTTTTTTAAATGTGTGCTTTATAAAAACCGAGGGAAGAATATAATTTGGTGTGTGTGGCTATAGAGGCTGTGCCTGTCACAATTCACATGTATAAAGCTTTTTTTGTGTGTGAATTTTTTCTACGATTCAAATTGAGTTTGAGTATCTGTAAACACGCAATTGTTATATTTAATTCTAGAATGTGAACTTAATTACATTTAAACTGATTACTAGCCTCCCTGCGCCATTCATAAAGCCTTGTGACTTCAGTTATCTTCAAGATGTTCTTAAGACCCTGTTTACCACTCTCCCCATTCTCCGAAAATCCTGGGATGTTGGAGCTGTTTATAATCACTATGTCTATTATCTGAAGGGTTGATATTAGAGGAAGAAGTGTTCCCTGTCATTATCATTAATGGCTCATTGGTGTTACTATCAAAATAACAAAATAATACTGCTTTCAGAAACCCATTTTCTGATCAGAATGCATGCTGAACTAGATTATAAATTTATTATTCAGACTGTATGCATCAGAAGCTATTCTGAAGAATAAAAACTATAAATTATGCATTCTTTTAAAAACAAGGGTCCTATTTTCAAATATATTAGAAAGAACTGCTATAATGTTACTTTTGAGGGTAAGAATTCTGTTAGTAATAGTTAAGATAATATATAGTAAGCACTCATTTACATGTAATATTAATGTGCTTAAGTCCCTGTAGAGTCATAGAATTCAGAATTTATAGTGTTTTAGTGTACTTAAGCTAATAACCTAAAAAAGAAAAACAGAATAGAAGCATTATGCATTTGAGTTGTGTTAAGTATTGAATATAAACCAATGGATTTTTGTTTATGTTTAATATTTAGTTTTTAAAGAGCATGTATGAATAGATGCTAACAGCATTAGAACACAGGAGTGGTAAACCAAGGTATTTGAGAGATTGAATTTAGAATCTAGAATGAAGAAAGTCAAAGGACTTTTATGTTCATTGTTACTCAGATTTTGATTTTGCTTTCAGATTCATTTCCAAATGACTGGTAATAAAATTCCATTGACAGTTTCAGTTGACCTTTGTCGTAAAATAAGTTTTCTGAAATACCCCTTCCATCTAATTAGACAACCTGTAGCCCCTGGTATTGGTTTACAAGATGCAGAATGAATTATTATGCTTCTTCCCTCCTCTATCCCCCATGTGTCAAATTATATTTTGATGAAAAGCACATCAGCATTTTCAGTGGAATTCAAAAGCTGGTAAATAAAACCTTACTCAAATAATGACAGTATACAAACTGTCAGTAGTTGAATGATTTTTCAGAGTTTTTAAAATCAAGGATACACATTATTAAAAAACATGTTTATTGTCTTAAGTATTGTAGTAATTTGGCTTGCTTTAAAGAAAATGTTTTGTTTTCTCCTAAAAATACATATTATTTTAAAACACAAGTTGCCATTTTGAGGAAGTAACTGACTATGTAAAAGTCCTTATTTATGACACTGCCTCAGCAATTTAGAGGCAGTGTGTTAAAGCATTAAAGGAAATGCCTACTATTAGGACATTTGCTCATGCCGTCATCTGTATTTTGGCAGATGTTTTATCTTTGCCACTGAGTTGTTAATGGAGATTTGAAAGGCTAGGTTCTAAAGATGCAAAATAGGTGTTTTTCCCAAAATTGATAAATATTCTGAATCCAAAATCATCACTTATATTACTAAAACTGTGAATATTCCTTACTGTTGATTCAACTATGGCTAGTATGGGCATTGCTTTTAATACATTCGTGTTATTTTTGTTACACAATTTTTATAAAGCCATTTACCCAACAATTAGGTTTTACATTCATACTTTTTTATACAAGGTTTCAAAATTCTATATTTTTACATCTTGTGCCTAAAACAGTGCACTCTGGCTGTCATGAAGCTATTTTCACTTGTATAGATATTTTTTTCTATGATAAAAGAAGAAGGATAATAGTGTGGGATCAATTTTGCTGAACTCATTGTAATACTAAACTAAAAAGTACAGAGCACCCCGATGGATATTTGATTCTGATAGACCTAGACTGAGACAAAAGAACCTGTATTTCCCCTCTGTGTGGTTATTTGGAGGTGAAATGCTGTTAGAAGCCACACCCTCCTCCACTTCCTTCCATCCCCATGGAACAGTTGTATATGACTCCATATTTGGTCATCCCAGGGCCTGCAGATATTTATGCATATTTGAATAAATGTCACATTGATGGGGTAAAAGACAAGGCAGGGAATTTGGCAAGTGCAAGGTCTGTCAAATGTTTTTTTTTTGTTTTGTTTTGTGTTTTTTTTTTTTTTCTGTTTCTAGCCATGTATGAGCCCCCTTGCTATGCTCCAGACACTTTGCATGGAGAAAATAGTGCTGGACATAGAGACACATTTCAGGCTCCATGCCTCTTAATAACATAAAATACAGTTATTTGGAAATAGAGATTTTGTTGTTTTTATCTTTCACTTGTACTTAATATGTTTTTGATGCTTGATAAAGCCTTAATTCTGGATGTTGCTGCCCTTCCCCCTGTAATTCTAGCTCAACCACTTTAGTTCTTGTAAGGCCACTTTACATTTTAGAGGCAATTACTTTGAGTCAGAACAAAATACACTTTACCCCAGTCCTTGTCTGATCTCTACTGAGATGAGATCTGACTAAATCCTCCTTTTTTACCCTAATTCTAACCCAACTCAGTTTGAGGCTCCAGTATTTCATTCCAGGGTCAAGGTCTATGGCAAAAAGATTCATTTCTACCAGGTATCTTCTTGCTTCATTTACCTTAGTGACTCCTAGGATTTCTTATCCCATTTTGAACATCCATTCCAAGTGGATAATTAACATCCTACTCAAGTGCAAAATCATAGTATTGATGTGTCGTGTAGACTCTTCTAACTTCCCTCCCACCGTTTTTAAACTTAACCTATAATAGCTTAGGTAACCTTCATCACTTTCTCCCTTCTCACCCAGTTTCAGAAGTAGACCTGTTCACCTATTTAAGGGAAAGATCACCTGTCAACAGCTCTTTCACTTCCATCACCTTGGAGACCTACCTAATCAATTTAATTCTCAGTCATGTATTTTAGATCTTTCCTTCTTCATTGGTTCTTTCACCATAGATTGCAAACATGCTCAAGTTTTATCCCATATTAAAAACAATCAAACAATAAATAAAATTAAACAAACAAGAAGAACCAAAAAATCTTACCCTGTTTCTGTCTTCATACTTCTTTCATTATCACCTCTTCTCTCCGCTCTTTTAGACTGCCAAATCTATTGCAAGAATAATTGCCTATCCTTTCTCTCTTCCTATTTATCTCCAAATATGACTCCTCATTCCACTAGTCTGTTGACAATGCTGCAGATAAAGAAGTTAGTGATCTAATTTTTAATCTAGTGGCTATTTGTACTTATCCTACTTAACATCTATTCTGTCCATATCAAGATGCTTTCTTTGTGTCTACAGGAGTCCTTTGCTGCCTCACTACTTCTCACTTTCTTAATTTGTTCCTTTTTATCTATTTGCTCCATAAATGTTGGTATTCACAACATTTAATTCTCTGATACCTGCTCTGTTGCTTTGTAAGGACGAGCTGGGAAATCTTGTTTATGCTTATGATTTCAATTATCAGCTAAGTTCTTGGTGATACTATTGTAGTGATCCATATATATATATATATATATATATATATATATATATATATATATATATATATGGAGATTTTTTGCAGAGAGGAAGGCAGAGGGATAGAGAGTTAGAAGCATCGATGAAAGAGAGACATCGATCAGCTGCCTCCTGCACATCCCCTTTGACTGGGACCCTTCAGTCTGCAGTCCAATGCTCTATCCACTGAGTCAAACCAGTCTTGGCTGTAGTAATCTCTTAATGGGCCTCCCATTCTTGTCTCCCTCCCTTCCCTCAATTCATCCTTCATATTGCTTTATTATTTTTTTAAATGCAGGTAAATCTGAGTGGCTTGCTATTGCTTATTTTATCAAGTCCAAACTCCTTAGAATTATAT